ATTTGCGTATACTAACATATTTGTCTTCAAAGGGCTCAAACGAAGATTATGACTACTACTGAACTTTTCAATTTGGACAAGATCTTGATTAATTTTATTATTCGCCGTTTGCAAGTCATTACTCCTAAATGAATAGAAAATTTGAGTATCATCTGCAAAAAATTGTATGCTGCATGATTTTACCTCTGTTTCTAAATCTGAGATATATAATGAAAATAATAGCGGTCCTAAGACTGATCCCTGTGGTACACCAGAACAAATTTTTTGTTCCGTAGAGTACTGTTGATTTAGACGAACTTTTTGATACCGATTTTCAAGGTAGGATTGAATAAACGAAAGAGGTTTTTCAGAAAATCCATAGCAACTGCATTTAGATACAAGAAGCGAGTGATTAATGGTGTCAAATGTTTTAGTAAAGTCAAGGGATGAGGTGAATAAAAGAGAGTAAATGCTTTTACTTCATAATTTTAAACTAAATTCTTGGTAGTAAGTGATCAATAAAACTTTTACTTGTACTTGTCAAGCAAACACTTGCTATCTCGAGTTATTACTCCTAAAGTAACTATTTTGAGTGTTCACTTACGCTTGGAGTGAATAACAGTAATAGAAAACTACGTATTAAGTAAATACTTTCATTTTCGCAAGGTCTAAACTAAATTATGGCAGCATTTATGAATATACGTAAAGTTAAACAATATCGTGATCGAACAGATCTCAGATATAGTGCAAAACGTCTTTTAAGGTTTGAAAATGAAAATATCGATTTTACTACAAACTATTTCTTACCAGAAACCAACGAAACTCGAGGTGGTGCTCTGTCCTTAAGAAAATATATTGAAATATTTCTCCGGTATATTAGCGACCCTGGTTTTCAAAGTGGTGTTGCAAACGATTTTGGTATTGAAAGAACAACGGTTTATAAGACTGTAGATTATTTTGCACAAAAAATTATGGAGAAGGCAGGTCAATGGATAGTGTTTCCAACAACCGAACGAGATTTAAACGAAGCAAAGACAAGTTGGGTGTCAAAATACAGGATTCCCACCGTAATTGGCGCACTTGATTGTACCCATATACAAATTAAGAAACCTGAAGTGCAGTTTGGCGATGAGTACATAAATGGGAAAAATGTTGCTTCATTAAATGTTCAGATGACATGTGATGCAATGGAAAGGATGACAAGTATAGACGTGCAATGGCCTGGAAGTGTGCACGATAGTAGGATTTGGAGACAAAGTGTTGTTCAACAAAAACTTGCAAGATTCCAATGGAATGCTTGCTTGCTAGGGAACAGCGGATATGGTATATCTCCATCGCTTTTAACACCATTTAACAACCACAAACTGAATCAGAACGGCGGTACAACAGATTACATTCAAAAGAAACAGTTGTAATAGAACGTGTATTTGGCCAACTAAAACAGCGCTTTCCAATTCTAGCAAATAGGATTAGACTCCCAATAAGGAACGTACCGAAAATAATCATATGTTGTGCTATACTTCATAATATTGCTAAGTATTTGCAGGTAGAGTGGGACTATGGAATAGAAAATAATAACGACGATCATGATGCTGTCCCAGAAATTGTTGAGCAAGAGCAAGGAAACATTAGATGTCTTGGTGAAGAAAAGCGCTTAGAAATATTCCAAATAATAAATCAGTTTAATTCAATTTAAATAACAAAATATGTTTCCAACATATTTATCACAGTTAATAGGTATCAAATAAAAATTATGTGGCTCTTAAATACAGTTATTCTACACGATACTATATTTACTCGTACCAAAAGTTCTGATACATATTATACATGAGAAATTATAGACAAATTCTAATTATTCATAAATGTGTTAGAAAACTTACTTTAACAAAAGAAAATCTTGCAACCTAAATTCCGAATTAACTAAAGGATCGTCATTCTTTTGGGTATTAATAGCTTCGTTTTCTTGCTGACGTAGGTTTTTCAGTTGGAGTTCCTCTTTTTCAATTTGTAGTCTAGTTAGTTTCAGCTGCTCTAGTAGTACTAAGCGTTGAAATTCAGGAGTTGATAAACCTACAGTTTTTTCTGTTTCTGCTGCTAACAACCTGTGTTTTTTAGAATTGTGGCCCCTGGACACGGAAGAAATATCTGCAGCATGTTCTTTGCGTAAAATATGTCTCTGTTGATTACACTTTCTTGTTTCTGTTTTTTTTTTTTTTTTATACTCCAACTACCACGAAGGCCTAAGGCCTAAGCACCCATTGGGTACCGTGGGGCTATGGGGGATACATGGGAAAGGGGGGACGCCACACGGACTCTGGCGAGGGAACACGTGTGCATGCAACATGCACACATTCTGGCTCCGCCTACGAGAACCGCCGGGTGGTACCTCCGCGTTCGACAGTCAGAGACCATCTACCACCTACGGACAATCACAACATCCATGGCCAAGAGAAACATTTCTCCTGGAGACGGGAATCGAACCCGCACAGCGCACGGCGACTGATCAGGAGACCGAAGAGTCTACTACTGCGGCCACCGCTGCTGCCTAAAACAAACACACAACATCCATGGCGAAGGCGAGATTCGAACTCGCGGCCCGGCCGGCCGGCTGATCAGTAGCACGACACTCTGACCCACGCGGCCAACCGAGGTCCCGTTGTTGCTTTGCTTACATTTAACTGTGTGGGAAGTAAAACACATTTATTACTGGAATCTAGCCCAACTGTTATTGCTCCTGGTATTTTACTGTATACAGGATTTTCATCAGCATTTAAAATTTCTCGAAAATCTTTTTCCCATTGAAGTAGCTTGATTGGCGTATTTCCTGTTGATGACAAGTCAGTTTTTTCCTTAACAGTGCTTTTCATATTGTTAAGAAGTTTTTTCAACTGATCGATAGTTACGTTTTTCCCTGTATATTTTATGAATTCCTCTCTAATTATTATCCAGGTGGTTTCTTTTGCTGAAACCGTTTTTGGTACCGTTGACTTATTTAGTACTATTTTATTGTTTTCTAGCTGCAAGATTCTGACTAGCTATGCTCGGTTATCAGAAACAAGTTTCGGTTGTTTACTTTCTTCGTCACTAGAAGACATCCTAATTGTTAGTAATCTTGAGCTTTCTTGTGTCCGACTTAAAATAACTTAGTTAAACAAAAATATACAGAAACCTATAGAGATTTATACGACGCGTAAGGTTTACAAAGCAAATACTCGTAAATAAGACGATTTAAATATGTGAATAAGGATAAACAAGCTAAGACTTGCACTCGCCGCAAGTATTACCTCAATATTAACAAGTAGACCTTTCTGAGTCATGCCTTACAATTATTCACTCATTGCCAAGAATTTGCTTCAACTCTCAAGGCAACACTTTTCTCGTAAGTAAATGCTTATGAAGTGCTTACTTGGTTTTATACACCTCACCCAATAAGTATGAGAGCTACTGCTTTTTGGTTATCAAGTGACATTGTTATATTGTCTGTTAAATCACAGAGTGCCGAAGCTGTATTATGACCTTGTCGAAATCCAGATTGTTTAGATGGAATAATTTTGTTACAATATAAGTAGGCGCAGAGCCGCTCGTAAACAGCGCGTTCCAATACTTTAGAAAAAATTGGCAGTAGACTGATCGGTCTCAGTTGACCATAGTTAGTAGGGTCAGAACACTTAGGTAGCGGGATAACTATAGCGCGTTTCCACTGATTGGGGAAATATCCCCTCTCTAAACAGCAGTTTATAATATGCGTTAAGTACACATCAATTTCAGGTATACATAGTAGTATCATATGCAAAGTTATTTCATCTCATTTCATCCAACCAAGGAGCTGGAGCTTTGTTTACACGCACTACCTTTTTTGGACAGTGAACATTAAATAAACATAAAATACTATCTGTTAAAAAGTTAATTTTATCTTCAATGTCATCTATCGATATAATATGCCACCATGGAAAACTCTTGAGATCTTGGTCAAACGCTATTTCATTTAAACTATGGAAATCCCTGAATGTCACAAATTTCTGTTGATTTTTAGGAAGTGCAATACGTATATCACAGAAGGTTAAATAGTGATCAGTAATCATATCAGCATTAATAGTGCCACTCCTAAGATAACTTTCAGGCTTGCTCAAATAAATAGGATCTAAGAGAGTGAGTGTCGATTCAGTTATCCTAGTCGGTTCAGATATCACCTGTTTCAGATTATAATAATCAAGGCATTTAGTCAAGTTGTTACAAACTAAAAGCAAATTAACATTGATATCCCCTGCAAGGATGATATCATCATATTCAGCTAATATGGCAGGCAACATGTTATCAAAGGTATTACCGGCTTCTGTAACAGAGCTATGTGGGGGCCGATAGAATATACCAATACCAATTTCTTGTTTTGGAAGCTGCACGTTCAACCATAAATATTCCTTGCCTTGCCCAAATGAAATTATGGAAGAGTTGTAGTGGTTGTTTACAAAGACTGCAACCCCACCACCTCGCTCATCTCTATCACAGCGATAGCAGTTGTATCCATTCATTCTTATATGGTCATTAGATATATCTTTTGATAGCCACGTTTCGGATATTCCAACAATATCAAGGTTGTTGTTTTGAACCAGTATTCTAAATTCATGAAATCCTGATAAAACTGATCTGCAGTTTATATGACCAAATTTTAAAACCTTGAATTTATCACTATTCATATTCAATTCTAGATTTCAAGTATGTAACATGTTTTTTTATAAGTTGGACAATCTAAGTCTTTAGAAGAATGACTAGTATCAAATTGAGTGTTGAATTTAGAATTGTGATTCATACAGTTTGAACAATTCTTATAAGCAGATTTACAATTTTTTTCCAAATGATCTCCAGCACATAAAGGACATGATACTTTAGAATGTATGCAATTTTTTTCCATGTGGCCAAAGCCTGAACATTTATAGCAGCGTATAATTCGTACATAATCCCGCACAGGACATCTTTGCCAACCCATGTATATATGACCTCTATCTAGCAACGTTTTTCTAAATTCATCTGAAAGTGCTTACAGTTTTTATATCATCACTACTGAAAATACCAAATTTATTCTGAGACAAGATCTTCTCGATTAATCCCTCAGATTTTGTGTAGGCGCATTCTACATTATTTATCACCATGCGTGGGCGATATTTCTTGATCTCATTGACAGTGAAGTTCGCACCGAGTTCTCCCTGTATACTCGCCATCAGCTTGGACAATGATGCTTCATTTTCGCAGCTAAGAATGATGCCATTATTCACCCTCCTCACAGAGTTCACACAGATATTTGACTTAGCTGGATCAATGCTCTTCTTCAAATCTTCCAACACATTAGAGTTTGATTTGTCCGTACTTTTTATCATCAACTTATGTATATTATTAATTTTATCTACAATCTTCTCATCTCTGCTTTTTTTTGACTCTTTTACAGATCCACTATATGATTTAATTACATCATTACAATGGGTGTATGAGGTAGTAGCTGCTATTTTTTCAACTCTTTCATTTATTTTCCCCAAAGAAGTGATTATGGTTTCTTTATCCACTATACTGCTAATGATCAATTCATAATGCTCCTGTAAACGTCTGTTCTCATTAACTAATTGATTGATATACCTCTCTTTATCTAAAATTATTTCATTCTTTGTTTCTAATAGCTTCTTCAGGTACTGTACTTCTTGCTCTATAGTAGTATTTGCATTATTCTTGGATAAATAGCTTTCATCTTTATCTTCTTGTTGCTCTTCTTCATCCTTCTTTTTTCGTCTAGTCATATCGGATAAACACCCTATGTATAGGCCAGGTTGAAAGTTGATATATCTTGACAAAAATGTGACTTGCGACACAATTTCGGGAGAGGTTAAAGAAAAATGACCGAAAATGCTTGGTTCGTCCTCGGAAGAGCTGCTAACGTTTCTGTAAGTACTTACTGGTGTTATCTCTTGTATGGTTACTTCTCCAGAAGATTGGGTACGATGTATCTCACACTTTGCGCATATACCAGGAGCAGGTATTTTTTTGATAGATAAGTTGGCGACTATACATATCATAATAGGATTTAATGCATTTAATTTTTTGCCTTTTGCACATGATATCAACGCAACAATTGTTCAAAGCGTCTTCCTCCAACCTGAATACCTGTATACGTAAGCTCTGAAATCTCTCTATAAAAACTCAAAACCTATTCAATTCTAGATACAGCCAGCCTGATATACGACAATAACCAAGAAAATATAGTATGTAGTAACGAATTGGTTGTATGCAGAGGAGTATTACCAGGTTCCATTTCTGTTCATTATGTACATTAATGATTTGCCCGAACACATGAAATCCATCAATAATAGATTAGTAAAAACGATGTACGTTGATGATACAGCTTTCCGTTTTTATATAAGTAAAAATCGTTTTCATCAAATGAATTTTATTTAAACAATCAAAAACCTATAGTATGTACATTCAGCTCAGGCAGAAATTCAGATACGTCACGTGCAAAATTTCTAGGTGTACAGTTTGACTCACATAATTATGACTTGGACATTCCGTATTGACCAAATTTGTACCAAGCTGACTAGGTTAGTATATTAAATACGCAAAATTGCTTATATTACCGATACCGACTCTGTCCGAACAGCATACAATGGAATGTTTAACTCTCTATTGAACTAGAGAGGGCTTAGTTGGGGGAATGCCTCAAAATTCTCAATTACATAAAAATTTTCTAATTCAAAAGGCAGCAGTTCGTATTATTGTTGGAGCTAAGCATGATGAAAACTGTCGGGAAATATTCAGAAGCCTTAAAATAATGACAGTAGTTGCAGTTATATCTCTCCGATATTCACGGCTACAATTACACGAGGGAAAAACCAAGTAGTACCTCCAAGAAATATAATTAATATAGCCAGAAGCCTTCGAGTTATAATAAACTTCCTAAGAGCGGTCTGCCGTTGGAGCTTTTCAAAAGGAAGTTTAAATCAATTTTAATAGACATAACGCCAAATAATATTGGCGACTCTGAAATGTACTGTATAATGGTTTCTATTATCTAGAATCTTTCCAGTTTTTAATTTTTCATATTTTACATTTTTAGTATGTTGCTCATGTGTGTATATTCGTGTGTACCATACTGTGTGTTATAATATAATTTTAATATAATGTCTGCCTTACAATATATGCAGTGAAGTTTGATGTAAATTTAATTTATATGTGTATGCATTGTGAGTGAATTGTATCTGTTTTTATAATTGATTATTTATTTTTTTAATGTCTTAAATCCTCGACTCGCCAAAAATGTCATTGTACATTCTCTGGCTCAATAAATATCTATCTATCAAGACACAAATACCGAAAGACACTCGACTCAGAAAGTTTCCAACTCATATTCAAAAAGCCACGCTTCAATTTTCTATCCAATCCTCGCAGCCTGCCTTTTTTGATAGGTCGTCGGTTTCAACAGTTGATAATTACTTCTACAATGCAATTCTTGCAAAAATTTTGGAAGTAGGTACTGATTCAAAACGTTATTCATTCCTAGACATTTCGTATGCGCGGAAACTAGTTCAAACAAGACATTACTCGAACACATCAAGATCGAAAGATCGATCTGTCTCTGCCAGTGATTTGCAGGCTATTCAAAACTTGAGACCCTGAATTCTGAAAGCGTCCCTTGAAGGCAACATGGCGGTAACTTCGAAAGTTTCCACGAAATCGGTCGCCAGCGACGCCGATGCCGTTTAGGCTGGGATGTCTATGTTGAGGAGGGAGATGGTATAAATGGAAAGGAGGGTTGAGTGTCATTAGGGTCTGAGACGCGATGATAATATACTAAAGAGAATACTTAAGGTATACGGTTATGGTACATATGAATAGTTTATGGTAACGTAAGATGGTTACTGTGTCGCTATAGTGGATTTTAACGGCTCAGACGACTTGGAAGGTTAGGTCTGTCGCTTACACTTTTGTTAGTTCAGTGCTCAGGTACCAAGTTTGACTGAGACCAGACAAAATTCATCAAATGTTTATATTTGACGTGCATTCTTCAAATTCTCCATTTTTACATTCATTATTTGCTTCCAAAGTTCACCTCAAGTAAACAGAGATTTAATCATTTTTATCAACACCGTCATCTGCATTTTTAATGAGTGCACTAGTTGCTAGAGGTGGAATAGACCAGCATTTTGGGGGAAAAGTCAAATACGCTCTAAAATGCACAACAACGAGGTTAGTCTAATCAAATATACTCATATCACTCCAATACCATCAAAACTCTAGGACGTTTATGGAGGTTACATGTACTCGTATATGGTAACGGAGGATGTTTAAATGTAGATGTTGAGAAATTTAACTGAGTTTCCACTAATGTCTTGCTGACATCATATTACGGACTTTTCCATTCTAAGATGTTCTTCGCACCCCTCAGCTGCGGTTATTCAGCACATGTGCAAAAAGATTTTGCAGTGTAGAGACGCTTTCCTAGATGTATTTGTAGCTTTGGATTTAGGGATCCATGTAGATATGCTTTTATCCAGCTGAAAATATCATCCCTACCGCTGTTGTGCATTCTAACACGCATAATACTCATAACTTAAATTTACCTCAGCAACAGCTAGAACCAATACTATTCACCACTAACTACGCTTTTATAATGCAATGCCAGATCAGGTCAAGCTCCTTAATGATGAGCCCTTCAAAACTAAAATAATACGCTTCTTGATCGACAAAGCATACTTCAACTATGACGAGTACTTCAACAGTAACTTTTCAGAATTCCGGTACATCTTTTATTTTTTTTTGTGCTTGTAAAGGTATTCATATTGATCTTGTGGATATGTTTTTTATACTTATTGTTGCTTTTTTATTGTATTGCTGTTAAATGGCATCGTTGTCTTTTTTGACTTCTCCTTGTATTTAGCGGTAATTAAATAATTAAATTATCATATTAAATTGAAGCATTGAATTGAATCCAAGTCTACTCGTAATATGTCTACCATATCTTAAACGAAAAATTGGACATCCATATCTAACAGACGTATACCATTACCAAGATGAACCTTATGAAGCTGTAATGCGATTTACTCCACTCCTTACCAGCTCTCACTGTCTACTTTTGACTCACCCTCACCACAAATAAAATCGGAAGTATCGAAGATCGCAGTATTTGGTCTCTTTGACTACACCGTATCGACTTTCTAAAACTTCAACACTTATCATAATACTCAACATGAAAATAATATAGGAAAAAGTAACTGTGTCAAGAATCTGCCTAGTGGATGCTTAAATAACTCCATTATTTTCCTCAAGAGAATAGCTAAGCCATCTGCGTTTAAAACCCCAGTCTACTTCTTTGATCGGCTGAAACAATTGACTAAGTACACTTCTTTTCTCCTCTTCCGACAGCATTTTTGTAAAAAGGGTCTGACACACACATAAAGAGAGAATTAAACCCTCTCTCGTAGACCAGATGTTCCCGGTTCTCACTAAGACAATTTCTATTGCATCCAGTAGAGTGGGTTATTTATTTTCTGCGATGAACCATCTAATTCTTCTATTTATATCCCCACTTCGCAGAAAGGGCTTGTCAGGTTACACATCAAGAAGTATAACAACACCATATGGCCTTGATTCATTGACCTTGTGGTAATTTAATAAGCAACCAAAATGTATTTGAAGACAAGCCGCACAACATTACTTTCTGATTTTCTTCGGAAATTGACATATTGCACGAGAAGGTATGGATTGAAACTATATTACAACTATACGTGTCGACCACCGTCATGGAGCGCTAGCGTTGTCACTCTCTCACACAGTTGCCACAGGTTATGTGATTCCACCTTCTGCCGTTTACAACTTTTGAGAATACAAACCTTAGGGGTAATTACAGGGAAGGCTGAAGAGTGGCTTTTCACTGGAAGACGATACATGACTCTCTTCAAAAACGAAACTGCTTCGGAATTGCTGCACTCTTACTTGGTAACATGGCTGTGGCGTTGGTAATTACATGTGAACGTCCAGAAACAGCATAGGGTTTAGCACGTTCTGGGAGACTAGTTTAATGACTATACGAAGAGTTATTAGTAAAGTATACCTAAGTAGTATGTGTTATTTGTCTTTCATTTGGGAGTAACAGATCGGTTACTTAATATAATACGTGAATAAAAGTTCACATTTGCCTGAAACATACACTCGTAGCACTTATGATTAACGTATAATACTCGTTTCTCAGTACGGAAACAGTTGACCTTTTTCTAAACTAAAAAATGAATTTAACGTAATTTCGTCATATCTCTTGAAAATGCTTGTGTATTATTTTGCCGACTACAACAATGGTGCATTAATATTTACAGGAGTCTCGGATATCCAGCAAAGGGGAATACAGCCTTTGGTATCTCCATGGAACGCAATGAATAATAGCTTTTATGCCTCTATATCCCAAACAGCGCTAAACGTGGCTTCCATATTTGCAGGGATACTGCATTACACTGGTATTATGATGTATTTTTCGACTATACAGTATGTTACAGTCGAGTGATGCTTCCGTGTGTAGGCAGCACATCTCAAGCCAATCCCTTTTTTCAATGTTGGCTCAAGTATAGCTACTATGGTGGACATCATATTAGCATCTCTACATGCTATCACTTACCAAAGTCAATGACAGAACCTAGAAATTTGAGTCGGTTCGTAACTTACAAATCTCGATTGTATAAAAAATAGTAGTAACGTCTTTAGTGTAGTCAAGCTAGCTTTCAGTTCAGGACAGTATTGTAAACTCACAAGTTCA